ATTCTGCAGTGAGGGGGCTGAGCCATCAAAAGTCAAGTGACACAGAACGAGCCAGAGTTTACTTCAGGGTCCAAGATCAAGGAGAACACAACTCCGTATCCTCCTAGCCAACGAGGAGTTGGCTCCCTCTAAGACGTGTTTATATACTCCACCTTATCTCCAAGAACATGGGGAAAGGCCACAGAAATCCTGGCACCTCAAAAGAGTTAACATTTATTTATTGAGCCCTCAGTGTCAGGTGCTATGCTAAATTCCCTACACACATTACTTGGTTTAAACCTTCACTCAACTATTATCAGGCAGGAATGATTAATTTCCTCATTTCCCCATTGGCATCATCAGGCACAGAGCAAGTAAGTGACTCACTGAAGATCACGTAAGAAGTCGGTGGAGAGGTGAAGATTTGAACGCCATGTGCCCAGAGCACATCTATCTGCAGAGGCTGGAGCCAGGATACAGCCCCAGGATGGGTGGTTTGTCTGGAATGTAAAGCATTCCATCCCTATCCCCACCACCCATCCCGGAGTTGGGAGCCATGAATGATGTTATTTATCCAATTATTCAGCGTTACTTCTTGACCACCTACAACAGGCCTTGCCCTGTGCTAGCCACCAGGCATTCAGCAGAGAACAGAAGAGGCTGGGCCCTGCACCCACGGCCACGGGCATGAGGTGAAGCAGGCAGAAGCACAGAACAGTGAAAGGTAGGAGGGCCGGAACCAGAGTCCATTCTCTCCTCCTGCACGTTTTACTTCCACAAGGCATCGCTCTGGTTTTTGCAGCCCTAACCTTCATGGCAGGTGGATGTCCTGGTCCTCCCCCAGTAAACCCCTCCGTGGCAGGTCTCCGCCACCCCTCCACCCCCCGCCACTGCCCCCCCCCCACCGGTGGCCTTGGCCAGCTCCTGCAATGGTCCTGCATCCAGCAGGGAGTATAAACAAGGTGACCCATCTTCCTGTGACCTGGCATGATGTGGGTGCAGACTCAGGACCTGAGCCTATTTACAACCACCTTTATTCACCTGCCGGGTGAATGCCGATTTCAATACCATCAGCTCAACAAATATTGACTAAGGTCTTCTATGAAAAAAAAAAAAACAAAAACAAAACCATTGGGGCTGGCATCTGTGGGATCTGTTAAACCTGAGCCTCCACGATTCAAGTAAGAAGAGAGAATAGAATTTAATAGCTGAAAACTACCATTCTCCAAATCTTCATCAACCCAGCAGGTGGGGGTATTAGCCCCTTTTTCTAAAGAAGGAATTGGAAGCTGAGAAGTTACAGAAACTTGCCCCAGGTCGCAAGCCTGAAATTGTAGAGTCAGGGTGCTACTCAGAGTCCCTGCTCTCCCCAGCCCACTTGGGCCCCAGCGGGCACACACACGAGGGTGTGCAGGAGACGCACATGACGGAATAAACGGAGGGCTATCGTCATCCTGAGGAGATGGGTGTTCAGAACTGCTCCCTTCGAAAAGGCAGCACTGGAGCTCAGCCTGAGGCAAGTCCGGAAGATTGTGAAGGCCCGCAAACTCCCTAAGCCACCGCATTCTGGGTTGGAGTCCAGCCCCATGAACTCAGCATGACAGCATCCCTTGAAGAAGGGACAAGCCACAGCCAAACGCTGCAGGTTCTTGAGTCATGCCTCCGGTCCACACAGACGTCGACCTGCGTCTACAGAGGCCTAACCAGTCGCCAAGGAAGTACTTCCTACCACATCATTTCACCCGCTGCCTGGAAGAGCCCCGCGGGATGGGCAGGGCAGGGCAGGAATGCAGCCGGGAACCGAGGAGGAAACAGCGGAAGCACCTGTCTGCAGCACTCAGCCCTCTAGCCTCAGCGCTTGGGACTGGGCCTGCCAGCGTAGGTGCTCGGAAAGCATTTGTCGAATGATCTAATAAAAGCTCAGAGAAATGAAACGACTTGCCCGAAGTCTCTCAAACTGTTGTGACTGCACTACAGCTAAAAACAGGGCCCTCTGCCTCCCTCCGGAGGCCTTCGTATCCCACCGCACAGTGTCCTCCCACCCAGCCACGGACACTCACCCTCCTGCCTCCATCCGAAATGGCCAGCCTCCTCTGTCCACTCGTCTGCTCTGATCCCCCTCATCCCTCACCTCCCATGGTCAGCAGGGAAGCTGTCAAAAGCAACAAGTTGGGGCGCCTGGGTGGCACAGTCGGTTAAGCATCCAACTCGAGGTTTTGGCTCAGGTGGTGATCTCAGCGTCACGAGATCAAGCCCTGGTTCAGGCTCCGCGCTCAGCATGGAGTCTGCCTGGGATTCTCTCCCCCTCGCCCTCTGTCCCTCCCACTTGTGCTTGCGCGCTCTCACTCTGTCTCTCAAATAAATCAGTTAAAAAAAAAAAAAAAAGGGCATCAAGTAACTTTAGGTCTGATCCCCACCACCACCACGTAATTCCACTTCCTTATCTCCCCACCACCCCACTGAGAACTAGGTGAAATTTTCTTTCAGACGCTATGGTCCATGCAAGGTAACAGAATTAACAGCAGGAAAAAAAAAAAAAAACTTAGATTTTCACAGTCAGGCCCAGAGCTTGTGCCACGCCCCCACCTCCTCCATCAAGCCCTGCCAAAGCAGACTTTGGCTCCCCTTGGTCCAGAGATCCATGAAGGCTCTGGATGCCAAGCCCAACTTTCCTGCCTTCCTCACCTCCCAGGGACAAGTGAGGGAAAGTTTCCTGCCCCTAATATGGCTGCATTCCAGCCTCCCCCTACCCCACCCATGCACCATTTGGGATTCGGGGCTGGTTACTTCCCCCTCTGCCCCTCATTTCCTCCACATCAGGTGTGCCAGGCTCACATTAGCCAATGCCAGCTCTTGCAACTGTTGAGTTTGCTCCTTAGATAACCAGATCTCGCAGATGACCCTGTTCCCGCCTGGCTATGCAGAGGCCTGGAACACACCCACCACCACTCTGCAGAGTTTTATGCATCTATGTGTGTATACACAGAGAAAGAGGCAATATAATTTTTCTCCCCAACTATATTTAATGTATTCATTCATTCATTTGATAATATGGAATACTATGAGCAAGTCCAGTGACCAACACTGGGGAGACAAGAGTTTCTGCCCTTCCAGGAACTTTATCCCCCAGTCCTGTTCACTCCTGCCCCAAGTAGGCATACAGTAGGTGCTCCATAAACAGGGATGTCTCCTCTCTTCCCCATGGAAGATCCCAAGACATTCACCGCCCTAATCCCACCCCCTCCTATCCAATTTAAAATCTCGTCTGAAGAAGGCCTCACCCTGAAATTTTAAAAAGGCGACCCTGCCTTGCCCACACGAGAAATCTCCAAATTACCCACTCCATTCTCAGCTCCACCAACAGCCCAATTGTCCCAGGAAATAAGCCTGGTGAGTGAGGGACTGTCACAGCCTCTCCCCCAGCATCCCCCCCCCATAGGGAGGAGGGGGGCAACAGGAAGAGGAGGAGGGATGTTTAAGCAACTGCCACACTGCAAGTCAGCTCCCCTCCTGCCATTGCCCTATAGGGCCTGGGTCTCAGGTCCCCCCCGCTTTGAGGAAGCCCTTTGTGCGTGTGTTTTAAATTACCTCTGCTTGTCTGATGAAGTGAGTAAAAGGGCGCCGGTTCAGGGCTTAGGATTCCTGAGTGAGCTAATACAGGATGCCTTTGGCTGGAAAAAAAACTTCAGTCGGCTCCCTAAACTCCCCCCCTTTTAAGTTTAAAAAAGGGAATGAATGTTACCATTTTTGGACATGAGCGTTCTCCCTCAAGCCCAGCCCTAACCGCACTATCCAAAGGGACGCGCCATCCTGCCCCCCCCATTCCCAGATCAGCCGGGGGGGGGGGGGGGGGGGAATGAAATGAGGAGGGACCGGATGGGAGCGGACAGCGGAGGAGCGGGGGGGGGGGGGGGGGGGAGAGGAGGGTGTGCAGGGTACGTGGCCGCCTGGGGCAAGAGCTCACAGCGCAGGCAGGAAGCAGAGGCAGGGTTGGGGCGCCCTCCCCTCCTCCCCCACTGGAGTGGTTTCTGACCTCTTCCTGCCACCGGCCACTGTGCCCGGGTCCCACCGCCAGCTCCGAGCGCAGCCCCCGTGACGGGGTGCGCACCCTGCACACCGCGTCTGGGACGCCTGCGGACGGACGGCGGCCAGGCAGGGATTCCCCAACGACCGACCCCAAATAACCCAGTGAACAACCTCTTGTCCTGGAGCCCTGCAACTCAGATCAAGTTGCCCCCAAATCGCCTTCTCCCAGGAATAAGCGGGTGCCGGGGAGGCAGGACGCAGATGCAAGCCCGCAGCTGAGTTAAGCAATAAAACGGTTTGCCGTCCTGACCCCGCCCCCACAGGGCCGGCTGGGGACCGGCTGGGGACCGGCTGATGCCCCTGGTTTCGCGGCCCCTGCCGCACTCCAGCAGGTCCACCTCCAGGCAGACCCGGAGGCGGCGGCCCGTCCCCGTGGCGCCGCGCCGCCCTCCGGCCCCCGGCCCCCGGCCCCCGGGCTGGGGCTGGAAGGTGCAGGTCGCGTGCAGCCTGCCCCCGCAGGTACCGAGCCCGGGGCGGCCCAGGAAGCGCGCTGCCACCGCACGCCACACGGAGAGGCGGCCAGGGGGCGGGGAAGGGAAGGGAAAATCGATCCCGAGCGAGCAGCCGCCTCGCCGGCGGCTCAGCCCCAGCCTCCCCAGCACCGCCCCACCCCCGGCCCACGCGGGGACCGCGCGGCTGCAGCCGGGTGGCCGGAGTCGCGGACCCCAGGGCGACCTGCCCGCGGCCGCCCCACCTCCCCGCGCTCGCGCTCGGCGTTCGCGGGCTCCGGGAACGGGGATCGCCCCCTTCCGCCCGCGCCTGTAACCCAACACCCCACCTCGCGGCGGCCGCGCAGCCCCCGCCCCCGCCCGTGCGCGCGGGGAGCCCGTTCGGAGCCCGGAGCCCGGAGCCCGGAGCCGGGAGCGAGGCGGGCGGCGCTGGTCGGGCCTGGGGGCTGCGGCGGGCCGGGGGCGGGGGGGGGGGGCGCTGCTGACCTTTCTCTGCTGCTTCTCCCAGGCCGGGTCCAGGAGCAGGTCCCGATCCCAGTCCTCTTCGGGCTGCATGTAGTCGTTGGTTTGCTGGGAATCATAATGGTCCATGACGGTGCGCGCGTGCTACGAGCTGGATTTCTTCCTCCACCTTCTCTCCGGGCGGCGGCGGCGGCGGCGGCGGCGGCGTGGGAGGGGGTCGGGCCGGGCCGCGCGGGCTGGGCTGGGCTGGGCTGGGCCGGGCTGGGCCGGGCTGGGCTGGGCTGCGCGGGCGTGGCCGGCCTGCTCCCGGGCGCCGGTTCCGCCGCGGCGCTGCTCGCGGAGCTGCTGGCGGCGGCCGGAGCTCGCGGACTGCCTGCCCGGGACTGAGCTCCACGCGCAGTGAGCGCGGCGGACACCCTCGCGCTGCGGGAGCCGGGGCGGGCGGGGGCGGGGGGGCGGGGGGAGCCTCCCGAGGCTCTCCATTGGCCAGGCCGAGTTGCCCAAACTTCCCCCCACCGCCTTTCATTGGGAATTCCTGGCATCCGTCATGCGGGCCGCGGCGCATATAGGTGGACCGGGCGGCCCCCTCCCCGCGGCGCTCGCCCCCGCCCACTCCCGGGTTCCCACTCCCCCGCCGCTCATGTGACACCAGCTTAAGCCGAGCGGGACCCGAGCCGGGGGACGCCTCGCCGAGCTCTGCGACCGAACGGCAGCGCGCCCCGAGCCCCAGCCGCCGCCGGGGGCCCGACGCGCGCCCCGCCCGCGGGCAGGCGGCGGACTCGGGGGGCGCCGGCCCCCCTGGGCCCCCCACGCGCTGCGACCCCGGCGGCCGGGGGCTGGAGGAGGGACGAGAGCACACCGGGACCCCGCTTCACGTCCCCGCTCCTGGGGTCCGGAGGAGTCAGCACCCAAGGAAAGGGGGGCAGGGGACGCCGGAATGGAAAGGAATTTCCTGGGAATTTCCTGACTCCGTCCCTCCCGCCCCGCCCGCCGGGACCCAGCCGACCCCTGCCCCCGAGAGCCCGGTGTCCGGCCGGCGGGCGGCGTTCGGGGGCCACAGAGCTTTCCCGCCTCGCGGCAGGGTCCTTTCTGGCCGGACCTCCGGCTCAGGGGAGCGCTCTGCCCGAGGGCTTCCCGGGGTCCCCTGCCGGCCCCCCGCAGGCGGGCAGGCCGGCTCCAGCCCCTTGCACACGCAGGCAGCACCCTGAAAACTGGGAGGGAGGGCCCAGAGTGGTCTGTCCACTCCTCCGCGCCCCGCCCCCAACACACCTGACCGATGAGCACACTGAGGCTCAAAGACTAGAGCTGGAGAAGGGATTTAGCAGGTCTTCAGGTCCCCAAGGCCAAGCCCATAACCTCAGGCCTAACAAACAAAGCCTTATTGTTTTTGGAGGAGGAAGGAGAGTAAGATTGGCCAAGCACCTCTAAGCTCTTGGTGGCCAGCCTGGGCTTCCTTCCCCAGGCCTAGTAAGGAGAGTCTAAACACACTGCCCCAGCTGTGACAGACACTGGGAAGAGGTAGGCCTGACCTCCTGGTGCACTCCTCTAAGGGATGCTGGCCTGAAGAACAGTAGTAGCAAGTGGACCTCCAACAGGTCATGCACATAGTCCTAGGACTGCTTTCCTATTTGTGTCCCAAGGGCCGGTGAGCCAGCTGCAGAAACTCCAGTGCATCAAACGGAGGTGAGTGAAGGCGTTAGAAGAAGAGTGCACTGCCAGAAAGGGCCATACTTGAAAGGCCCCAGATGGAAAAGGTGAAGAAAGTGCCTCTGACTCTCAGAACAGCCAGCCGGTGCTGTTGTAAGCAGATATCTGTTATGTTGCCGCTCCCCGCATCATTAGTCAACCTCACATTTATGCAAGTGTTACCGGTCAGTGCTGTGGCCTGCCACAGGCCCTGGCTGAGGAAGCCCTACCTCTGAGCCAGAGAGAGTAGATTTACAGACTATTTTATAACCATCTCATAAACATGGCTCTAAACCTAACATAGAAGGTAATATGTGCTGTAGCCATTCATTTACTCAAATATTTGCTGAGCACCCCGTGTGTCAGGGTATAAGCTAGACGTTATGTATGTAGAGATGAAAAGACACAATGTCTTCTCCATGCAGCCCAGCAGAGACAGATACAGAAACAAAAATACAGCTCAAGGAGACAGCTCTGACGGAGGAAAGCTCTGACCACGGAGCCCAGCAGGGGGAAGGAGGCTCCAGGTGTAACTTTTTGGAGTAGGTGAAATTCAAGTGTTGTTCAAGTATTGAAAATAAAAGCATCTGCAGAGTGTGGGAGGTTATGCCAGGCAGAAGAATCGGTGTGAGTACATGGGGGCAGGAAACTGCATGGTATAAAAGGAATGCCACACGTTTCAACGCGGCTAGACTAGAAATTCAAGGCCAGGAGGGGCAAGAGATGCAACTGCGGAGGTGGGCGCCTCTGGACCGCGAAGGCCTGGTGTGCCGTGGGAAGTGTGGATCCGAGGGGAACGAGGCTGTACAGAAGCTATGAGAACCAGATGCAGAGCAGTGGCAATAATCTGGGTAGGAATGGTGTCCTGGTCCATTTGGACCACTGTCACAGAGTACTGTAGACCAGATGGCTTTCAACAAGAATGTGTGTTTCTCCCAGTTCCGGAAGCTGGAAGTCCAAGGTTAGACTCAGTGTGGTGAGAGCCGACATCCTAGTTGCTAAAAGCCATCTTCTGTGTCCTCACGTGGTGGAAGGGGCTCTGCCCTCGGACCTTCTCATTCTCCTAATACCATCACACTGGGGGTTAGATGGCAACATATGAATTTGGGCAGGATGTAAACATTCAATCTATTGCAAATGGAGAAGAGTGGGTAGACAAGAAAGACACACTTAGAATATAAAACTGAAAGGAAGGGGATCCCTGGGTGGCTCAGCAGTTTGGCACCTGCCTTTGGCCCAGGGTGTGATCCTGGAGACCTGGGATCGAGTCCCAGATCGGGCTCCCTGCATGGAGCCTGATTCTCCCTCTGCCTGTTGTGTCTCTGCTTCTCTCTCTCTCTCTGTATCTCTCATGAATAAATAAAATCTTAAAAAAAAAAAAAAACTGAAACGGGCACCTGGGTGGCTCAGTGGTTGAGCATCTGCCTTTGGCTCAGATTGTGATCCCACAGTCCTGGGATCAAGTCCCACATCAGGCTACCCACAGGCAGTCTGTTTCTTCCTCTTCCTATGTCTCTGTGTCTCTCATGAATAAATAAATAAATAAATAAATAAATAAATAAATAAATAAATAAATAACTTTTAAAAATGAATATTAAAAAAATGAATATAAAACTGAGAGGCCTCAGCATTTCAATGTGAGGACAGAGAGGAGTCTTTGCTCCTCTCACCCAATGTCCCATAGGGGACAGACCATACACTGTATCTACATGAACTATGTAAGCTCCACCTATGAGACGAGAACTGTTTCCACCTTACAGAGAAAACCAGCCAAGCCTCAGGGAGGTAGCTAACTCGTGCAAGGTTACACATGGATTTGTGACTCCTAGACCCATGCATTGGACCAGTGTTTCTTAACCCTGGGACAGTTTGACACCCTCCCTCCCAGATATCTGGCAATGTCTAGAGATATTTCTTAGTTGTCACAGCTGGTGGGTTACTATTGGCACACAGTGGATAGAGGCCAGCCCTGCTGCTGAACATCTACAATGAGTGGGACAAACAGGACAGTCTCCTCACAACAAAGAATGATCCAGCCCCAAATATCCACAGTCCTAGGGTTGAGAACCCCTGCCTTCATTATCGGTTTCCAGTTTGGATGATCTGGTGAATGGTGGCAGTAGAACCAACTGAGATACAGAATTTCAGATATGGGAGTGGAACTCGGGATTGAGTTTGAACTCCTTGAACTTGAAGTGCTCTGAGAAATTTTCAGACTCAGTTATCCAGCAATCACATGGCCCTGAATTCAGGGGAAACAGATCCGAGAGTCAGTGGTAAACAGATGGTATTGACAACCATGAGACCATGCATGAAGAATGCCTAAGGGGGTGGGGGGGAGCCACTGGGGGGGTCAGTTGGTTAAGCATCTGCCTTCCGCTGGGGTCATGCCGCTGGGGCTCTCTGCTAGGTGGGGAGTCTGCCTCTCCCTCTGCCTGCCACTCCCCCTGCACATGCTCTCTCTGTGTCAAATGAATAAATAAACTCTCAAAAAAAAAAAAAAAAGAACGCCTAGGTGGGGCTGGAAAGGGGACCAAGGGTGGAAGCAGCACTTAGAAGGGAGCACAAAGAACAAGATCCCCTGAAGGAGACAGAAAGGGGTCAGCAAGAACACGGAGAGCCTGAACCACATGGTGCTGTGAAAGTCAAAGGTACAAAGTTTCACAATGAGGGGAGTCATCAGCCTCAGATATATCAGAAAAATAAAGCCTAACAGTCTTCTTTCCATGTGATCATTGAAAATTCACTGGTGTCCTTTGCTTGTGGAATTTTAGTAGTGTGGCCAAAGCTGTGAATTTAAGAGACACTAGGCAGTGAATAAAGGACAACAGTGAATATAGAAGGGGAAAAATAAATACACACACACACACACACACACACATAGCATTCCTAGAGGGGATCCAAAAGAGGTGCTTTTGTTTGTTTGTTTGTTTTTTGAATAGGAGAAACTTGAGCTGTTTGTAGTCTGAGAAGGATTCAGTTGAGAGGAAAGAACTGAAAATGCACCCAAGAGAAAGGTGAGAGATGGCACAGTTCTTGAGACAGGACCATGTAGGTCAAGGACACAGGCTAAAGGATAGACAGTAAAGAGAGGAAGTGGGGGGGGGGTGGTACCTGGCTGGCTCAGTCAGTAGAGTATGTGACTCTTGAGCTTGGGGTTGTGAGTTCAAGCCCTACATTGGGTGGACAGATTATTTAAAAATATATATTTTTTTAAGATTTTATTTAGTCATTCATGACAGACAGAGAGAGAGAGAGGCAGAGACACAGGCAGAGGGAGAAGCAGGTTCCATGCAGGGAGGCTGACGTGGGACTTGATCCCGGGACTCCAGGATCATGCCCTGGGCCGAAGGCAGGTGCTAAACCGCTGAGCCACCCAGGGATCCCCCTAAAAATAAAATCTTAAAAAATAAATTAAAAAAAAAGAAAGGCCCAGATGCTCTAAGAGGGGGGGAAGTGTTCCCAGGATGGGCATGGGTGTCCATAGTGATTGGGAAGAGGGTAAGGGAGTAGGCTGAAGCAACAACTGATGATCTTGGTCTTCTCAACAGGGAGGAGGCCCTGAAGAATGGACTGAAGGTGATGAATTGACCAGTCTTTTCATCCAGGACTCACTAGGGGCCAACACTGGTGATCTTGGTCCCATATAACACCACCTTCTATAGAGAGAACAGAATTACTGAACATGTTAATTTTTTAGGGAGACT